CCCGTCTCAGCGTTGCGTCATTGCTTCACTTCTGGAGGACGCCAGCAACTAGCCCTCCTGGCAGAAGGGCCGAGGGATCAGCAGGGGCTCATCTGCGTGTGTAGAGGGGGGAAGCCCACGGAACCTCATGTCTGTTTCTGAAAAAATTCAACCAAGTAAGCCAGGCTGGGAACTTCCCAGGAGGTGGCTTTTCTCTGGGTGCCCTGGGGGACAGGAAGAGAAAGGGTAGTTTTGCAGGATGTTTTAAAACACTCCCAAGGATGGTCAGAAGTTCCCGGTTTCTCAGGGCCAGGGATCCCCCTTGGGTAGATGAGTGTCAGGGAGGTGGGGAGGCCCAGGGCGGGCTGAGGCGCTGGAGGCCGCCCGGTGCCGGCCCCGGGAGAGACTCTGGCTAGAGGCCTGGCCAGGGTGGGGACCGAGGCCTGGCTGAGGCCCAAGAGCACAGGGCCCGGCCCAGCCCTCCCGCCTCCAGGCTCCCCTTCGGCTGGCTGGGCGCCTCCTGAGGGCCTTGCCTCTCCCCTTCCGTCTGGGGCACCAGCACGGCTGTCTTTTGTGAGACGTGCCTCAGGGATCACACCTGCTTTACTCCGGGGGTTATCTGGGGCTGCTCCCCCCTGGACACACGCCTGGCTGGTTGGTGCTGGGGTGCGGGATTCAGGAGTGGTGCGACCCAGGAGGCTGGGCACCTGCCCGTGCTCTTGCGGTGGAATCCTGACTGGGTCACCTCCCCTCTCTTGAGCGGGAGAGCTGCTGCTCTTATGGCAGAGGAGGGAGGCAGTCATGGGAGGCTTCCTGGAGGGGGCAGGCAGCCCAAGAGCTGGCCCTGAAGGCTGATGGGAAAGCTGGGCAGGAGACAAGAGGCATATCAAGCCCAGTCCCTCCCAGGACCTCAGAAATCCAAGGTCCAGAATCGCCTCTCGAGACCATCCCGGGAAAAGGGGAGAGCAAGCCTGGGGCCAGGACCCGCTGTCCCGTGACCAGGGGCTCGGGCTGCTTTCTCCAGGCCTGGGGAGATAAGCGCTGAGAAGGGGGTTGGGACCTAGGAATGTACACTGTGGAGCAGCCTTTGATCCCCATCCCTGGGGACATTTTTACCCAGGGAGGGGCAGTGAGGGGCCTCCAGGCCCTACACCTAGAGCCCTTCACTCCAGACTCCGGGCCTCAGTCGCCTCATCCGTAACAAGGGCTGTGCTTGCCGGAATGTCGCCCCTGGTGAACACCAGTTGCCCCTTGTGGGGAACCATGGTGCGCAGGGTCACTGCCCTCCCGGAGCCAAGTCTGAGAGAGAAGGTCTCCTGCCCCGTCTCTTCCTCTGAAAAATGGAGCCTGGGGTCCCCTAGGGCAGGGCGGCAGTGTCGGGGCAGGCTCAGGAGGGAGGCAGGGAGTGGTCCTCTGGTAGGGGCTGTAAAGGTCCGCTGGCCTGGAGGCCCCTCGGGGAGGGGAACCGCAAGAAGGAAAGAAGAAAAAAAAAATAGCACCAGAAACGCAAGTGCCGTCCCCATTGGCTGAGCCGCCTAAGGGCCCCGGGGGCTGGGTGCCGGCCTGCCCCAGCGGCAGCTCGGAAAACTCCCTGCAAGGGCAAAGTTCCCGCGAGCGGCGAAGAACCTGCTCACTTCCTCTCCTGCGGGCCTCCTCCCTCTTCCTCCGGCGCTCCACTTCCTCTTTCCCTCCTGCTGCCTCTCTCTCTTCAGCTCCTCCCCGCCCCCCAGGCTGGCGACCCAGCCACCCCTCCAACCCTCCATCCTCCCAGGCTCCTTTCTCAAGGCCGAGGACACCCAGCGGGGTCACTAATGCACTGAGGCCAGAGCCCTGGGGTGGGGGAGTGGTTCGGTGGAAGGAGGTGGACACCGGACAGAGACCTGGAAGGACTTGCCTCTGGTCAGGGAGGCCAGCCCTGTGCAGTGGTCTTTGGTGGGAGGGAGGTGTATGCTGCTGATCCCAAAGGACTCCCTTCAAGGGAGGGGCCTTCTGGGATGGGCCTTGAAGGATGCATAGGAGACCCCCAGGCTGCTGCAGAGGCAGCCAGGAGTCCTCCAGCCCGCGGTGGGTGGGTAGGTGGGGCCTCTCGCTAGAGAAGAGGCCCGATGGTGGCCCAGGCCCTGCATCCCAGGGAGCGGCCTCGATATCCAGCCCACAGAGCTGCCAGGGGCCACCCAAGTCTCTCACGCGTTGCCCCACGGCCCCGATTCCAGTCTGTCCGGCACCCCACCAGGCTCAGTGAACAGCCCTCATCAACTGGCAGCAAAGAGGCTTCTCACCGCCCCCCCACCCCCCCGCCCCATCCCCACCACAGCTCCTGAATCACAGGGCTGGCAGGGCCCAGGGTGGCTGGCCAGATGCCCGCGACTGAGACACAAGGCCAGGGACAGGGCAATCTGGTCCCTGGGAGGCAGGGAGTGGAAGGATTGGAAACATTCACCCAGGCCCCGGGCGGGTGCTGGGGGAGCTGTCGAGAGTGGTTCCCTGAGAATGCCAGCCTGCGGCTCTGAGCCTCAGGGCTCTGCTGCGTGCTGAGAGCCGGTCACCCTTCCTACCTGTTTGTGGCCTCGGCAACCTTCAAAGGCCCTGCCACCGGCCTCCTGCAGTGGGCTGGACCAAGCTGCCTCTTCCCTGGCCAGATTCCACATCCATATATGGACTAATCTTTCGCTGTTTTCAACACACACTCAGTGAGCACCTACTATGTGTAGCAAAGCCCTAGGCAGGCCTGGGGTGCCTGCAGACAGACCCCTGGGCACCGGCATGGCCCCCACGCGGCCCACCCTTGGCTCTGTGTGAGAATTCAGCGTGTGGCCACCGCTAAGAAGCTGCGTGTTCCCCCAGGCTGGGCCGGGTGCCCTGCTGTGATTCCACGGCCTCTTGGGTGTCTCTCTGCCAAACGCTGCCCACTGCTGCCCACCCTCTGGGGCGGGGGGGCAAGCTCTCCCTGCTGTCTGGCATGGCTCAGATCAGGGAAGCAGCCAGAACACTGTGAGGCACCGAGGTCTGGCCCAGGGCTTGGGGAGAGGCCCAGGGCAGGCGCAGGTGCGCTGGGGCTCGGCTGAGGGCAGCTGGTCTTCAGGGACTGTCACCGCAGCCCCCCACCCTCACTCCTCGCTGGCACGCTGAGTGTCCTTCCCCTCTGCTCGGTGGCCTCCAGATGGTCCAGGGCAATTCAGCTGCACGTGACAGGCAGACGATGGACAGTGGGGCCCAGGCCCCAGGGCTGCGCTGAATGGCCCGGCCTGCCTGCATCCAGTAGAGCTTGGCAGCTGCCCGGGTTAACGGCCCAGGCTTGGCCTTGGCTGGGTGTGACCAGGCAGTTCTCAGAGGCAGCCCAGCTCCATGGAAACGGTTCCTCCGTTCTACAGATCCCACCTAGGTTCAGTCCTGCAGCAGGGGAGGCTTGGCCAGCCGCTGGCCCCTGGGTGGGTTGGGGGTGGGGGGAGGCCTGCCCTGTCCCTGGGGACCGTGGTCCTGAAGTCCCTGTTAAATGGCCACAAGCCCCCTGAGTCCCCGGTGTCAACACAGCTCTGAGCCCCAGGTCTGAGTAATAATGGCCCCTTAGCACACTAAGAACACCCACTTAGCATGCAGGGCACCCCCAGTCAGAGGCCCTCCTGTAACCCAGGCTTTCTGGACAGTTGAGCTAACGTTGGAAAGGGTGGGGGGCTCTCTGCCCACCCCTTCCCCCCACATCTGTTCCCTAAGCATGCACCCACAGCGACCAGGAACCCTGGCATCCGTGCTGACCCTTGCCCACCGGGGCGCTCGCTGCCCTGGGGCATCCACACCCGGAGGGGCCTGAGGTGGCAGGGGTCCCGCAGAGACAGAGGCAGGCTGCGTGCGGGCCTGGCCGCACGGGGCCGGACCTGGGGCAACTGCTCGGAGGGGCGGCTGCCCGGGGCTCGCACCCCCTGCCCGTGGGCCGCCCAGCACCCCAGGGAGGCCAACGCCAAAACTCTCTCCCTCGTCTTCCTCAATCTCGCTCTCGCTCTCTCCCAGTCCATCTCTTTCTTTTTTTTTTTGCAAAAGGAGGGGAGAGGGAGGTTAAAAAAAAAAATGCTGCACTGTGCGGCGAGGCCGGTGAGTGAGCGGCGCGGGGCCAATCAGCGCCCGCCGTTTCGAAAGTTGCCTTTTATGGCTCGAGCGGCCGCAGCGGCGCCCTATATAACCCGGCGGCGCGAGGCGCAGCCACCGCCGAGACCGCGTCCGCCCCGCCAGCACAGGCCTCTCGCCTTCGCCTCTCCGCCTTCGCCGCCGGCCGACACCGCAACCAGGTAAGGGGTCCCCCGCGCCGGCCGGGCCACTGCTGCGCCGGGGGGCCGGCGCCTCCTCCTGGCAGGAGGGCCCCTCGGCCCCCGTGGACGATCGCCGGGCTGCAGAGAGCGGGCTCCGGAGCTCCTCTCGCTCGGGGCCGGAGCTGCCCTCGGGCGCGCTCCATCGCGGCTGGGGACGACCTGGATCTCAGTCCGCTAGCGGGCGGCTTTGCTCCTCCAGGGCGATCCCGGGGCGGCGGTGGGGAGGGAGGGTGGGCGCGGCGGCGCGGCCCGGCGGAGTGGGGGCTGGGGGACGTTTCTGCGCGTGCGCGTGCGCGCTAGGCTCGGGAAGCGAGGGCGGGGCAGCAGACCGGAAGGGGTGGGGCTGCCGTGTCGCGAGAGCGCCTGCGCGCACTTCCTCTCTGTGCTGCCGGCCGCCTGGCGGGCGTAGCCGCCGCCGCTGCGCGCCGGCCGGGTGGCGCTGGTGCTGGCGGGGCGGGGCGGGGCTGGCGCCCGGTGGGGAGGGGGCGGAGGCCTGGCTTCCTGCCGCGCGCCGCGGGGGCCGCCTCCAACCCGCGTTTGCCTTTTATGGTAATAACGCGGCCGGTCGGCTTCCTTTGTCCCTAATCTGGTCGCGCGCGCGCCGGCGCCCCCTAGCGGCTCGAAGGCGCGCTGCACCGGAAGTGGGTAGGGCGGGGGCGGCCGCGCCCGACACCCACCTCACACCCCGGCTCACCGCCCGGTTGTACCGTGCAGTTCGCCATGGATGATGATATTGCTGCGCTCGTGGTCGACAACGGCTCCGGCATGTGCAAGGCCGGCTTCGCGGGCGATGATGCTCCACGGGCCGTCTTCCCTTCCATCGTGGGGCGCCCCCGGCACCAGGTATGGCGCCAGGCTGGGTCGGTCCTGCGCTCTAAGGAGCTGGCGGGGAGGAGGGTGGGAGGAGGCCTTTTTGGCTTTCTGGGTGGGGTGGGTGTGAGACTTGGCCGGAGCTGAAGGCGCCTCCTCTCCGCAGGGCGTGATGGTGGGCATGGGCCAGAAGGACTCCTACGTGGGTGATGAGGCTCAGAGCAAGAGAGGCATCCTGACCCTCAAGTACCCTATCGAGCACGGCATCGTCACCAACTGGGACGACATGGAGAAGATCTGGCACCACACCTTCTACAACGAGCTGCGTGTGGCCCCCGAGGAGCACCCCGTGCTGCTGACCGAGGCCCCCCTGAACCCCAAGGCCAACCGTGAGAAGATGACCCAGGTCAGTGGGCCGCCCGGCCTCACCTCAGCGCCCCTCCTTTCTTGCCCTTCTTTGCCACGCCTTTTCTCACTTATTCTCTCTTCTGCCATTTTCCTAGGACTTTCTTCTCTGAGCTGAGTCTCCTTTGGAACTCTGCAGGTTCTATTTGCTTTTCCCCAGATGGGATCATTTTCTGGTGTTTGCCTTTCTGACTAGGTGTTGAAAGCATAAAGTGCTGTGGGTGTAGGTACTAACCCTGGCTCGTGTGACAAAAGCCAACCGAGGCTGCTGCCAAGTGGCCTTGGAGTGTGTATTCAGTAGGTGCACAATACGTTCTGAAGTGAATCCCCATCCTGGGATCCCCAGCACACTTAGCCGTGTTCCTTGCACTCTTTCTGCATGTCCCCAGTCTGGCCTGACTGCCTGCTGTGGCGTCCCAAGTATGACGTGGCCCGTCTCTCCCTACAGATCATGTTCGAGACCTTCAACACCCCCGCCATGTACGTGGCCATCCAGGCTGTGCTGTCCCTGTATGCCTCTGGCCGCACCACCGGCATCGTGATGGACTCCGGTGACGGGGTCACCCACACGGTGCCCATCTACGAGGGGTACGCCCTCCCCCACGCCATCCTGCGTCTGGACCTGGCTGGCCGGGACCTGACGGACTACCTCATGAAGATCCTCACGGAGCGTGGCTACAGCTTCACCACCACGGCCGAGCGGGAAATCGTCCGTGACATCAAGGAGAAGCTGTGCTACGTTGCCCTGGACTTCGAGCAGGAGATGGCCACTGCGGCCTCCAGCTCCTCCCTGGAGAAGAGCTACGAGCTGCCGGATGGGCAGGTCATCACCATCGGCAATGAGCGGTTCCGCTGCCCCGAGGCTCTCTTCCAGCCTTCCTTCCTGGGTGAGTGAGCAGGCCCGCCCTGCCCGCCCCACACAAAGGTCACCCTGTGGCCACACCGGAGGCTCAGTCTGCCTTCTCTGTCTTCCTCAGGCATGGAATCCTGCGGCATTCACGAAACTACCTTCAATTCCATCATGAAGTGCGACGTCGACATCCGCAAGGACCTCTACGCCAACACGGTGCTGTCTGGCGGGACCACCATGTACCCTGGCATCGCGGACAGGATGCAGAAAGAGATCACTGCCCTGGCGCCCAGCACGATGAAGATAAAGGTGAGCGCCGGGCGGGGCGGAGGGCGGGGCGGGGGGCGGGGCGGCCGCGCCGCCGGGGCCCCGCGGGCACGGGGCCCTGACGCCGGGGCCCTCGCTGCCCGTCTCCCCGCAGATCATCGCGCCGCCGGAGCGCAAGTACTCGGTGTGGATCGGCGGCTCCATCCTGGCCTCGCTGTCCACCTTCCAGCAGATGTGGATCAGCAAGCAGGAGTACGACGAATCCGGGCCCTCCATCGTGCACCGCAAGTGCTTCTAGGCCGCCGGCCGCGCGCGCGGAGGGGCGACGCTGGCATGGCTTCGTTCCGCTGTCTGTCTTTTGGGTTTTTTTTTTTTTTTGGCGCTTGACTCAGGATTTAAAAACTGGAACGGTGAAGGTGACAGCAGTCGGTTGGATCGAGCATCCCCAAAGTTCTAAATGTGGCCGAGGACTTGGATTGTACATTGTTTTTTTTTTTAAATAGTCATTCCAAATATCGTGAGATGCATTGTTGCAGGAAGTCCTTTGCCTTCCCAAAAGCCGCCCCGCTTCTCCCTAAGGAGAGGGGGCCAGTCCTCGCCCAGCCCACACACGGGAGGTGATAGCATCGCTTTTGTGTAAATTATGTACTCCAAAAAAATTTTGTTTTTAATCTTCGCCTTAATACTTGTTCTTTTTGTTTATTTTGAATGGTCAGCCATCGTGGCCCCCTTTTTTTGTCCCCCAACTTGAGATGTATGAAGGCCTTTGGTCCCCCTGGGAGCGGGTTGAGGTGCGGAGGCAGCCAGGGCTCTCCTGTACACTGACTTGAGACCAGTTCAATAAAGTGCACACCTTAAACGCGCGGCTCCTGCTTGGTGGTTGCTGGGCCTTGGGGACCAGGGCGGGGCATCGGGGGCCTCTGAGACACCTCTTTCCCTGGGGGTTCTTGGAGGGTCACACAGGAGGAGTTAAGGGTTCTAGCCTCTCATGTTTATTTGAGATAAGTTTTTTGGCCTGGCTCTGGTATCCCCATTTCTCACTGGTTCTGATATTGAGATGCTTGAAGAGTCAGGAGCCAGGGAGTTGGGGTTCCTTACACCCACCTCCGATTGGGTGGGGACCTTTGTGACTATCTTCTTGGGATGGGGGCGGGGCCTCCTAAGTCTTGCCGTGGGCCAGGGGCTCTGAGGCTGAGCTCCAGAGTAACACCTGCCCATTCACCCGGAGTAACCCCCACAGGAGGGGCTCTTCCTATGGGTCTTAAGGGCACCTGCCCCAACCGTGGGTGAGGGGCTGTGGGCATTGGCAGAGATGGCTCTGGGGGGGACTTGGCCAAGGTCTGGATCCAGTCCTTGGGACTGGAGGGTTCCCAATTGCAAGTGCAGGTTGCCCCAGTTCTCCCAAGACCCTGTTGGGGGCGGCCACAGCCTGCCTCCCAGCTCCTGATTCCCCACTGCTGGAGGGCGGGGTCTGCCTGGCGCCTCAGGTCAGTCTGGGGCGGAGGGAAAGGGGTGAGGTTCCCCTATGAAGGGTGCCCCCCTCTCTAGAGAGAGTGAGAGGCACAGAGACGGGAGATGGACCCCCAAGTCAGTCCAGATAGGTGGCCTTGGGGGGGGCCCTCCATGAACCTGGGGGTTCCTCCAGCACTCCACTAGGAGTTGTGGCCCCTGGGGGCAGAATGACCCACGCCTCCCATCTTGGGGAGAAACAGTGCAGACCCTCAGCAATGTCCTTTTGCCCAGCCTCTTGAGGGGGTGTGGCCAACTCCAGGTCTGGAGGAACAGGAGAAATGTGAGTGCAAGGTGGTTATCTTTGCGCTGGGAGGGGGACTGATTGACCTCTTGATGGCTTCCAAAACCAAACAGGAGCCACAATCCTGCTCGCAGGGCAGGTTTTCCTGGGTCAGCACATGAAACAGCAGGCGGGTGCGGAGCGTGTCATCCGGAAGGGGTCCTGTTCTTCAGGGCGTCCCAGGCCGCCTCTTTCACCTGGCCCAGAGGAAGAGCAGGGCACCAAGGACAGGCTCAGAAAGCAGGGGCTGAGAAGGGAAGTTCCTCCAGGGTAGGGTTAGTTCTAGTTAGTTCTGGTCTAATTCTGGGGTGGTGGTGAGTCCTGGACTTGGAGCTATAAGTTAAGTTTCCACCTTGGACTGCTTATTAATTCCTCAGGTAAGAGTTGGGTGCCTACTGTATGCTGATGCCTTGGACACAGACCCAGCCCTGGAGGAGCTGTCAGTCCGGAAATTCCTCTCTTCCCCTCCCTCCCTCCTTGTCTTCCTTCCTCCCTTCCTTCCTCCTTCCAAGCACTATCTGTGTCCCAGAATGGGCTGCAGTGGAGAAGAAACCAGCTGTGTTTCCTACCCTCATGAGGCACCCTGTTCACTGCGGAAGACAGAATAAACAGGAACGTATCATGCCCAGTGGCAATGAGAAGAAAAAAGTGTAGAGGTTGAGAGTGATGAAGACCACAGGGTCGGTCAGGGAAGATGGGGGCCATTCATCACGTCCATATATCCAAGCTCATCAAAGCTAAAAAAAAAAAAAAAAACAGGTAACAAAAGCAGCAGTCATCATTTTGCCTTTTCCCAACAACAAATAAAGTAATAAAAGGACTATAAACCTGGTTGATGGCGGGGTGGGAGTAGCCACGGCTCTTGAATAGGAGGTTTCTTCAGACAGCTTCTTGTGGGAGGGGTGTGTGAGCTGGCCAGGAGTCACCTGGGGAGGTGGAGTGTGGGCGTGCACGTCTCAGGCAGTGGCCCTGATTGAGTGAGGCCAGACGCCCGTGGGTGAATGGGAGGGTGGTTGGGGCCATGGGTCTTTTCTATGTGGCCCTGGAGAATTGTGTTACTGTCTACATGCCCGTCTGAGAAATGGGAATGTCAGCAACAGCAGGAAGGGTGCTTGTGAGCAGGTGCCCCCTCAGTCTTTCCCTTTGAAAGGAGACACACGTTTGACCCTGCAGGGGCTGCCCCTTCCCTCCAGGGCCCACTGCTGGGCTGATCATCCAGGTTAAGCCAGAGGGCACTGATTGCCTCCCACCTTCCTCCTATACCCATTCTACAGATTAGAAAACAGTCTCAGCGAGGCCAGGTACACCAGCTCCAGGTCACCCACCTTATGAGTAAGGACACTGGAACTTGACCCTGACATCTGGGAAGCCTAAGAGATCAACAGGCCGGACAAGGCAAGGTTCAGCCCCCACAAGGCTGTCTTCTTGTACAGACGTTGGGCTTCTCCTCTCTGACCCAAGAGTCTCCGCCCTGCTTTCCCAGGGGGCTGGCTCCCCCGTGAGGCCGCTCTGAACACCGACGCTTCACCTTCTTAAGAAACGGAAACCATCTCTCACTGCCCAGGACGTCCCTCCTCTCAGAAGCACCCTCTGCCAGGAGGGAACTGCACCCCAGCAGGTGTCCTAAGGGGAGGGGAGTCTCGGCAAGTGCAGAGGCTCAGAACCTCAGGTCACTGCCTTCATCCCGATGTGCCTTCCTGGAGCCCAGCGATGAGGGAGGTTCACATGCCCCTGGTGACATTGTTGGAGGCCAGTCATCATCTTTGGGGGGAACTGAGGCCGTGGGCAGCTCTAGGGGGCCAGTGGCAGGTGGTTCGAGCCACCCAAGGGACCCAGGGACTGGGATCATTCAGAGCCCCTGCCAGTGGTTGACGCCTTCATTCACTCCTTTGCCTTATTCATCATTCAACTTGTATTTAGAGCACTGACACAGTTCCGGAGGAAGGGGTGTTCAGCAGTGATATCCTGACATTGTCCCTGCCCTCAGAGGGCTTCCAGTCTTGCCCCACTGTCCCCGAGGGGGCCTGGAGCCACAGGTGGCTACTTACATTTAGACAAATTACAATTGTGGGCTTTCCTGGTGGCTCAGTGGTAAAGAATCTGCCTGCCCGATGCAGGAGATGTGGGTTCGATCCCTGCTCCAGGAAGATCCCCTGGAAAAGGAAATGGCAATCCACTGCAGTATTGTTACCTGGAGAATCCCATGGACAGGCAAGCCCAGCGTGCTGCAGTCCATGGGGTGGCAAAGAGTTGGACGTGACTTAGCGACTGAACAACAACAAAATTACCATCAAGAATTTAGTTTATCAGTTGCACAAGTGACAGTTCAAGTGCCCACTGGACGCACAGGTATGGAACATTCTCCTCCTTACATTCTAGTGGATGGCACTGGCCTGGTGGGAGGAGAGATGTGGCCTAAAAACTCACACTGATGATTCTTTAATTATCCACTGGGATAAATGCCTTCAAGGAATACTTGGAAGGATACTGACGGAGGAGAACAGGACTGCTTTCTGCAGAAAGGATTTTGGGAGGATAATGAAAGAGAGCCAGAGCTGGAGTGAAAGCTGCCCAACAGAGGGGGCGGCACGGGCAGAGACAGAGAGAGGGTCTTCAGGAGTGAGAAGGTCAGATACACATATTTCAAAAATAATAGACTTTAATTTGTAGAGCAGTTTTAGGTTCGCAGGAAAACTGAGCGGAAGCCATTTCCCATATACCTGCTGCTTGCATAGCCTCCACCATCAACATTCCCAGCAGGACTGCACCTTTGTTACCACTGATGAACCTACACTGATTCATCATATCACCCATACTTTACATTTGGGTTCACTCTCAGTGTTTACCTGGTATGGGTTTGGACAGACATCCACCATTACAGTATCATACAGAGTAGTTTCTGCCCTAAAAATCCTCTGCGCTCGGCCTATTCCTCCCTCTTCTGGTCCCCCTAACTTCTGGCAATTCTTGATCTTTTCATTGTCTCCATAACTTCTGCCTTTTCCAGAATGTCATGTCGTTGGAATCATACAGTATGTAGCCTTTTCAGATTGACTTTTCACTCAGTAATATGCTTTTAAATTTCTTCCACGTCTTTTCACAGCTTAATAGCTCATTTCGTTTTTTTTTTTTTTTTTTTCAGATTTTTTTAATGTGTATACACTGCTTTGTTTATTTTTGGCTGCACTGGGTCTGCACTGCAGCGTGGGGGCCCCTCTCTAGTTGCACAGGCATCTCACGGTGGGGACTCCCCTGTTGCTGAGCTCTAGGCTCATGGGCTCCAGTAGTTGCGGCTCGAGGATCTACAGCACAGGCCGAGTAGCTGTGGCGCTTGGGCTGAGTTGCTCCGCCTCACGTGCGATCTTCCCGGATCAGGGATCAAATCCATGTTCCCTGCATTGGCAGGCGGATTCTTATCCGTTGGGCCACAAGGGAAATCCCAATAGCTCATTTCTTTTTAGTGTTGAATAATATCCCATGGTTTCGATGGACTGTGCTCATTTATCCGTTCACCTACACTTCTCGGCAGATGCTATTGAGGGAAGTGTCACCCAAACCCAGAAAGGCCTGTGACAGCGTAGGAGCGGTGAGGCGTTGGAGCCGGCCCCATCCCCGTCTCCTTAAGCCCCACTCAGTGATTTCCAGCTCAAGTGTTCCTTGGAACTGGGGATCCCAGGACACATGGAGTGCCTTCCTCACTAGGATGAGTAAGAACTACGATGGTTCCAGCTTATAAGTACTGAATGGCTCCTCTCTGCTGGACACGTACGTGTACAATCGCATTTGATTCATCACTGATTTGACAACACTGGTGGAGGGACTGCTGCTGCCCTGCCCTGTCCAGGGTTGTAGAGCAGTAAACACACCGCACAGCGAGAAACAAACCTGATTCTGCTCCTAAGGGAAGAAAAGGAAGGGGCGTGCCAGTCAGGAGGGTCTGGGCCTCTGTGAAACTCCCCCACATGCCTGCCTGAGTCAGAGTTGAGCTCCACTATGGAGGCTTGCATAGTTAAACAATGGGGACTCCATTAACACGCGTGTCTGGAGTGGTACCTGAAGGCTTACCAAACCATGAGCTCTTTGAGGCACCGACTGTGCCTGTCCCCACGGAGGTCTGCCCTCAGAGCGCTCTCGATTCTAACTGGACACTAACTGGCTCAACCTGGTGAGGTGGGAGGGAAATGACGCCGAGAGAGAGCTTGATATGAAACTTGATGTACTGGGTTGAATAGTGTATCCCGAAGGTTCAGGTTCACCTGGAATTGCAGAATGTGACCTTATTTGGAAACAAGGTCTCAGCAGATGTCATTAGTTAAGATGAAGTCATGCTGGCCTAAGGTGGATCTTAACTCCAGCATGACTGGTGTCTTTATAAGAAAAGGAGAGGGAATTCCCTGAATTCCCTGGCAGTCCAGTGCTTAGGACTCCACACTTTCACTGCTGAGGATGCAGGCTCCATCCCTGATCAGGGAAGTAAGATCCCACAGGCTGTTCAGTGAGGCCCTCGCGCCCCCCACCCCCCTGCAAAAAATAAATAATAAATAAATAAAAGCAGATATATACACACACTCACATACACAGAGGCAAAGAGGGAAGATGGCCCCAGAGGCAGCACTTGGTATATGTGGCTACAGGCCAAGGAACTCTAAGAATTGCTGGTATGTGTGTGCTACGTTGCTTCAGTCGTGTCCGACTCTTGGCGACCCTATGGACTCTAGCTCACCAGGCTCTCCTGTCCATGGAATTCTCCAGGCAAGAATACTGGAGTGGTTGCCTTGCCCTCCTCCGGGGGGATCTTCCGTACCCAGGGATTGAACCTGCATCTTCTGCAGGTTCTGAATTACAGGCAGGCTCTTTACTGCTGAGCCATCCAGGAAGCCCAAGGATTGCTGGCAACTCCCCACAACATAGAAGGATCAGGAAGGATTCTTCCCTTTGGGCCTTTGGAAGGAGCATGGTCCAGTCAACGCTTGTCTTTCTGACGTCTAGCCCGTAGAAGTGTGAGAGGATGAATTTCTGTTGTTTAAGCCACTGAGCTGGCTGTAGTCTGACACCCTCCTCCCAAGAAACACACTTGCTTAGAGTCACCCAGGAGGAAGTCGGAACAAGCACTCAAATCCAGTTCTTTCTGTCCACAGGATTTTGAGCACAGGCTCTAGACACAGGGCTTCAGCAGTTGCAGCATGCCAGCTCAGTAGTTTCAGCTCCCGGGCCCCACAGCAGTATCACTAATTGTGGGACACAGGCTTTGCTGCTCTGCTCCACGACACGTGGGATCTTCCCAAGCCAGGAGCCAGGCTTCAACTGTGTCCCCTTCATTTGCAGGCGGATTCTTATCCACTCGTACCACTGTGGGAGTCCAACAAATGATTTTTAAATGCAAAACGTTACGAGCGAGAGCATATCATCTATATATTAACTTACCCAGAAAATATTTATTCAGTGCTTATGTCAGGGAGTGCTCCAGTTACACGGCGTCTAGTTTATTGGGGTAGGACAGAAAAAAAAAAACAGATACGGTAGATCAGATGGTGAGAAGAGTTATGGAGAAAAATTGCGCAGGATAAGAGCAAGTTTAGGTGTGTGTTCGGGAGGACGGGAGGATGGGGAGGAGGTAATTCTATTCTCTGGGGGGAGAGAGAGCGAGAGCGAGAGAGAGAGAGAGTGTGTGCGCGCGCGCGCGCCTGTGCGTGTTAACCGGCTCTCTGACAGGTGGTTTCTTAACACTACAGACACCAAGTACAGCGAATGCAAAGGCCTAGAGACAAGAGGGTGCTCGACCGGCAAGAGAGGCCCGCACGGCTGCAAAGGGGCTTGCAGTGCGCAGAAGATCTGGAGATGAGGCCGGAGGGCAAGCGTGGGTCGGCTTGGCCTCGCGGGCTGAACCCGCGCCCTAGCGGGGCCTTTCCTGCGTGCCGCATCCAACATGGCGGCCACATGGAACCCGCCCGCGGGCGAGCGGAAGTGCGTATCGGCGGGCGCCGGAAGTGGAAGATGGCTCCGCCCCCTGCTCGGGTCTCTGTGGAGCCGCGGACGCGCCGGCTTTGAGCATCCCTGGCCAGCCAGGCGGGAGGCCCTGGAGCTCTGGCTCCCGAGGCAGCGCCTCGGCCCGCCCTCGACATGGCCAGCTCTGGAGAGGTACGGCCGGCGCCTCTCTCCGCTCTCCTCCCTGTCCGGCGGCTTTGGCCCCCGCTCGGTCCTCCCCACCCCGACTTCGGTTCCCCTGCGTCCTTTCCGTTTCGTTCCCTGTCCCGCTCCATCCTGCCCGTCCTGACCTCGGTTGGCTCTGTGCTTCCTAGCCGGGCCCCCAACCGCGGCCCCGGGCGGTCCTTCACACTCCGACCCTGACGTCGCCTGGCTTGGTCCTTCCTGCCCCGACCCTGGCCTTGGCCTCGCCGGGTCCTTCCCATCCAGTCCCGGGCCTTACCCGTTGCCCCATCCGTGACCCGTCCCGCCCCCTAGGACCTCACCCTGTATCTGAAGGTGTAAGCTCTCTCAACCTTCGGTTTTACGTCCCTTTCCCAGTCCCTAATCCTGATGGGCAGACCTCTCCCCGCTCCCTACTTTCCCAGAGTTTCCAGCTCCTCTGCGCCTCCCCGGCCTTTCCCCCCTGCCCCGGGCCTTGGCTCAGCCCTTGGAGCTCTGAGACGTTCCTCCTCCCTGCCCGCTTCCCATCCCATTCTCTGTCCCTGAATGTTCAGTTTCAGCCCAGCCCACTTTTCTCTGAGCCTGCTTGTTGTGTGACTTGTGAGGGGCGGGGGGTAGTGGAGGAAAAGCCATTTCACCTGGGGGCCTTATGACTTTGAATGTTCCACAAATCTGGGTCCGACAGAGAATCCCGCTGAGTTCCTGTAATGTGGTGCAAGGTATTTTCTCTGTAGACCAGGGAGTAGGGGATCTGGACTCTTACTAGGGCTTTCCCATTCTTTGCTTCCTCCCTACTTTTATGTATACTTGTGTGCATCTGTATTTATGGCTTTTGTCCGCCACCCGCAACCACTGAGTGAACTTCCTGAGTCTTATGGGCTTGCTTGTGCTCTGGGGAACTGGAGTGGATGGGGCATGGGTACGTGGAAGGTGGCTAGGGTTACTGATAGCTCTTCGAGTGAATTTGGGTCAGAAGTGGCCCCTAGATCGAGAGGGAGGCTGTGTGCCACCCCCCCCCCCAACACACACACACACAAGCACACTGGTGGTAGCATTGAAGGGCCAGAGAGTACCAGCTCCCCGAGGAAGCGTCATGGGGATAGACTGGCTGTGTTAGCAGATTCTGGTTAGTTGCATGTGCTTAGTGTGTGTGTGGGAGGGGGGAGGGTATCTGCTACTGTGGTCTTTTGTGGTCCTGGTGCAAAGGCCCCTCTGTTCCTTGAAGTACATGTTGGGGAGCTGCCCAGTGAAGCCTCTTGTCACATCATGAGCATCTCTTGGCTTGAGAAGAGGGAGGGGAGTCTTGTTCTGACCTGGATGTGGAGATAAGGTCCTTTTCTCTGTGCTGTGCTTAGTCGCTCAGTCATGTCCAACTCTTTGTGACCCCATGGACTGTAGTCCACCTGGCTCCTCTGTCCATGGGGATTCTCCAGGCAACAATAGCAGAGTGGGTTGCCATGCCATCTGTCCTCCAGGGGATCTTCCTGACCCAGGGATTGAACTCAGGTCTCCCGTGTTGCAGGCGGGTTCTTTACCAGCTGAGCTACCACAGAGGCCCCTTTCTCTGGGTGGGTCTAATGATTGATTGATTGGTTGAGATATAGTTTGCATACCATAAAATTTATATACTTTTAAAATATGTCTTTACTTTTATTTTTTGGCTGCTGTGTACAGCATGTGAAATCTTAGTGCCCCGACCAGGGTTTGAACCTACATCCCCCTCAGTGCAAACATGAAGTCCTAACCACCGGACTGCCAGGAAAGTCCTTAAAACTTACACTTTTACCGTGTATATTGCAGTGATTTAAAAAAATGTACTCACAAGTTTGTGCCACCATCCCCACTATCTGATTCCAGAATGGGGTGGTCTGATTTTGAGAGTCCTTGCTGGGTTTGAAATGCAGATGTCCTCCTCCTGTGCTTCTGAGGAGCTGGGCTCTGCACTTTGAATAGCTCTTCGAAAGATTCTGAAGCAGTGGTTCACTGACGCCCAGTTCAGTGCCTCTTTCCATTGGGCATTAAAAGGTGATCCCTGTTCATGAGCTGTTCCTGGCCGAGTGAGGAGACAGGCAGGTAACAAAGCAGTACAACCAACTGATGAGGCCGGAGGGGAGGAGGGTGGCTGGGGCAGGAGGGGGTGTCTGGGGTGCTGGAAGGGCTTCCTGGGGAGGGAGCCTTTGAGCTGAGGTTTCCAGAGTAGCAGTTTCCCTTCTGTGTTGGGGACATCATTGAGGGGAGGGAGCAGCTGTGCCAAGGCTTGGAGGTCTGACTGCTGGGTATTGGGGGACATTCTGGAAATTGCCAACTAGAGAAGCAAAGACTTACAAAGAGGGGCAGTGGGGCTTGCCTGGTGGTCCAGTGGCTGACTCTGCACTCCCAAGGCAGGGGGCCGAGGTTCAGGCCCGGGTCAGGGAACTAAGGCCCCCACATGCTAAGAATTTAATACTAAATAAATAAATAAACTAAGGAAAAAAAAAAAGGTGATGTGAGAATCATCCCTTCAGGTCGCTACTTTGATTATTAAACAGAATTGTAGAGTTCCACATACTTGCAGAAGAATGTTGTAGCGAACTTCCCTCTTATGTACTCATCGCCCAGTTTTTAGAAAATTCTTATCGGAGTGTAGTTGGTTTAAAGGGTTGTGTTAGTTTCAAGTGTACAGCAAGGTGAATCAGTTATGTGTACACACACCACTCTTTTTCAGGTTCTTTTCCCATATGGGTGAGTACAGTGTGTTGAGTAGAGTTCCCTGTGCTTCCTCGCCCAGTTTTAATAGTTAACACAGGTCTTGGTTCGTCTCTGACCCTCCCACCCCTTCCTTGCCCCTTGGGTTATTTAGAGCACATCACAGACATCTCCTCAGTTGATCTCTGAACCCTGCGATTTCTTTGGGTGCCTGACTATAAACAGTCAGACAGTGAACATCCTAGAAGGGGATTTTTCTACGGGGCCAGTACCTAGGTTTCAGCTTAATTTGGCTTAACTTTTTTAAAAAATTGTTTAAAAGAACGTAACACAGTTTGTCGAATAAACTCTTTGAACCCCCCCACTCTTGAAATTGTTTTCAGCGTGTCGTCCGGTGCTAGCTGATTCCTAAGTGTCCCTGATAAGGATCACCTGGCCCTGAGCAGGGATTTCCGGACACCCCAGGAAGCCCCTGGCTGGACCCTGCCCGAAGCCCCTGCAGCCCTTTTCCGGTGGTGGAGGGCGGGGCGGTCTCGGTTCGGCAAATCAGGCCCTGTCTTGCGTATCCTTGCCCTCTGACCTCGGGCTACTTATCTGACTTTTTTTTAAAGATGGAGGATGGGGCTGCCTCAGTTTCCCGTGCTGAGAACACATTTTCCGGAGAGGCAGAGGGAAGCACGAACTGGTGTATTTGGGTGTGCTTGGACGTGGGCCTTATGCGGCCCACATTTTTATTTGGCGAATGAAGAGGCGAGAAGCCTCCTGTCTTCCTCCTGGTGGGGCCGCCTGTGTGCTGTTGCCTCCGCAGAGGCTTTCCTGGAGGGCTGGGGGGTGCCTCGGCTCCAGGGAGAAGACCACTGGTGCAAACCCTGCAGGACTGGGCCTCCTACCAGCATGGGCCTTCGGGAGACCAGGGGGAACCGATCTGCCCTGCTGCCTGGGCAGCTGGTCCTCACCCAAGCCCGCCGCCCTGAAAGCCCGTGCCTGCCTGGGGTGGAGCGTGGGACGCTGGCCTCGGGACAGCCCTGGGGGGCGCAGCACGTGCTGGGACTGGACGGAGGAAGACGCAGCTCAAGTCCTGCTTTGTTGTGTGTTTTTGTTTTCTTTTTAAAAAAATTCTTGTAATTTCTAGGTGGTAGCTTAACTGCGGAAATTATATGAGGCTGGTGTTCCTGAGAGTGTGTTCCCCCGTGTTCTCCTTGCTCTGCAGCGGGCATTCTTACTTTGATAAATCTGCGAATTGCGGGGGGAGGTCAGAAGGGGTTAGCCTCGGGTTGCTTGGGGGAATCGAGGCCCAGCCCTTCCCTCTTGTCCCCAGGAGCCCGGCACACCGAGCTCGCCTGATAATAATCGCTGCTGGTTCCACCCGCGCTCGGGAGATGGAATCCCTCGGTCTAGGGAAAATCCCATGGACGGAGGAACCTGGTAGGCTGCAGTCCATGGGGTCGCAAAGAGTCGGACACGACTGAGCGAGTATCTGTATCTGTATGTAGGGTGGGGTCTGGGAATCTGACTTTTAACAGATGTGCCTGTTCGATCCCAGATAACTGGACCTGGGAAATTTCTCAGGAAAGTAATGTATGGTTAGAAAGGCTGGACCCAGGATATAGCGACCCAGGGCAGCTTGTGGACTTGGGCCTGATGGCCGCCTGCTGCCCTGGTAAAGGTGGGAGGAAGGAAAGAGGGAAGAGAAGGCAAACCTGGCTGCCGCCTCTCAGCGGGACGGGAAAGTGGGAGGGGCCGGCGCTGGTAGGTAGGCAGGGTGCGTTCAAACCTTTCCTGCCTTGGCGAGGGCTTGGCTGGATGCAGAGGCCAGAGGGGCGTCGCAGTCAGAGCTCCCAGGAGTCCCCTGGTGCCTGCGTGGGGTGCGCAGAGGGGCCCTTCCTCCTGGACCTCGCGGTTGCCAGGGCAGCAGCACGGCTCTCCAGGCCTTGACGCTTCCGTCCTTGGCAGGTATTGCCAGCGCAGAAGCAGGCTGGGGAAGGTGGGGCTGGCGGACAGCCTCACTGGACGAGCCGGGAGAAGTGTCGCAGAGGCGCCCCCCTCAGGTCGGTTTAGAGGCAAGAGGGTCCCTTCCGGAAGTGTTGGAAAGATACAGGGACGCCTCCCTCCCACCCCCCGCCATGCCCCTCAATGGGCTCTTCCAAGAGAATCCCAGTTCCTTGATTTCAGTGGCCTTGATTTCAGGGATTTCCTGTCACACTAACAGAGGCCTAGTCCCTCTCCCTCTTGGTTGTACAAGGCACTGATCAGTAAGATGGGAAGCCCACATTTGGGCAGAAAATCTTCTGTTGATGTTTGCAAAAAGAAAATGAAACAGTAGGATATGTGGACATCTTACTGGAAATTCCAACACAGGTTTCTAGCCAGAAGTGGAGAGAAGCTGCGTTGCCTCCATTGCTTTTTATGAATCTTTTAAGAGTTTAAAATGGCATTGGTCTGGTCGGTACTGCTTCTTAATTATGACGGCTTCATCATTTCGTTCTCATTTTACTCCTCCTTAACAACAGTGCTGAGAGTGCTGGCGCTGTTCTGAGGAGCTGATACACAGTAACTACTTAACCCATCACAGTGATCCTGGGAGGTGAAGACCAGGTATCATTGTTTCTGGATGGAATTCACCTGCCCGAGGGTTTTAACACTGACATTCGGGGCTAAGGAGGAGAAACGGCAGCTTTCACAAACGACAGCCTTGGCTGATGGTCGTGAGTTGAGTCGGAAACCTGTCAGACTTGGCTGAGGAACTTCGGTAGAAGAAAAATCTCTCTTAAATTTAAAAAAAAAAAAAAATTGAAACTTCACTCCGACTCTGTTACGTTCCAAGAGAGATGAGATCCTGGTGTGCGAATTGGCAAGGGGGCTTTTGGAGAATGTCAGGGGCTCTCGCTCTGTTGTTAAGAGTTTTGGTAACAGCTCCTCTTCCCCACGGACCACGGTGAGGACTTCCCTTGGCTGCAGGCCGCCCTTGGGGATCCCATGGAAACTTGGTGCCCCTTATTTTCAGGACACGTGTGATGACAGCGACGCGCCCCCTGCGGCGGCCCCAGTGGCAGACAGCGCCCACCTGCTGGGCTTCTCCGACGAGATCCTCCTGCACATCCTAAGCCACGTGCCCAGCACGGACCTGGTGCTGAATGTCCGGCGCACCTGCCGGAAGCTCGCGGCGCTGTGCCTGGACAAGAGCCTCACCCACACGGTGCTGCTGCAGAAGGACTATGAGGTGAGGGGCCCGGGGCGGCGCCCGGCATGGGGCAGAGCTGGGGAACAGCCGAGGTGCCCCGCTGAGGCCTGGGGTGCCTGCAGGGACTTCCTTGGCGAGCCAGTGGTTGGGACCCCGCCTTCCAGTGCAGGGGATGTGGGTTCAGTCCCTGGTAGGGGAGCTGAGAGCCCGCCTGCCTCACAGCGAAAGAACCAGAACATAAACACCCCGGGGCAATATTGTAACACATGCAATAAAGACTTTTCCAAGACTTCTAGGCCCCGGGCCTGGAGTATTAGCCACCTGGGCCAGGGTATAGGCGAGGTGGGTGTCATTCTGGGAGGGTCTTAGGTCCTGGCACCAGGCCAGGGGGGAAACCGATTGCCAGGTCGAGAGGTACCCAGGAGCGGACCTTCAGATCCATGAAAGGTCCTGGGCTCTCCTGTGAAGTTGAGCACAGTCAGAGACACCACCTTGGCCCGCCAGCCGCAGCTGGGACTCCAGGTTGCCTGCATCCTCACCAGTGCTTGATGCTGTTAGTCTTCTGGTGGCAGCCATTCTGATGCACGGGAGCTGGTATCTCATTGTGGGTTTAGCTTGGTTTCCCGGTGAAGGACGCTGTCACATACTTTGATCAGGTGCAAGGGCGATTTGTGTATCGTCTCAGAAGTGTCTGTGCAAGGCTCTTGCCCACTCATTATTGTCTTTTTTTTTTTAGTGAGTTTTGGGAGTTCTGTGTATGTTCTGGTACAATCCTTGGTCAGACATATTGTGAATGTTTCCTCATAGTCTATGGCTTGCCGTTTCATTTTATTAGCAGTGTCTTTTGAGGAGTGTAAATTTTTCATTTTTGTTGTTAATTCAGTCGGTAAGTTGTGTCCCACCTCTTTGCAGTCCCATGGATTGCAGCACACCAGGCTTCCCTGTCCTTCACTATCTCCTGGAGTTTGCTTAAATGCATGTCCATTGAGTCGGTGAAGCCAGTCTTTTGAAGAGTATAAGTTTTTCATTTTGCTGATGTCCAGTTGAATTTTTGAGTTCCTGCTTTTTGTATTCTGTTGAAAAAATCTTTGTTGGAGAAGGAAATGGCAGCCCACTCCAGTATTCTTGCCTGGAAAATCCCATGGATGGCAGAGCCTGGTATGCTACCTTCCACAGGGTCGCAAAGATAAGTCTACAAAAACAATGCTAACTGCTCTTCTTTCATCTTAAGCTTTACTAGACACAGTGGTAAACAGATTACTTTAATAGAGTAGGTTTATGTATTTAAAGACAGGTCTCTTCACTGCTTTTTTCCTCCCAGAAAGATTAATCTCCGATAGCATATATGTAACCTTCGAAACCTTTTTCACTGCTATTCTGTAACATAGAGTGTAGGAGTTCATATGCCTTTTAGTAACTAGAAAGAGGTGTAGGTTTAGCTCCATGTGAATTCAGGGGACCTATGACTTGTTAGCTGGCTCGGAAGTTGGTCAGTTATCCTTTTCTTAAGGGCCCTGGAATAGTCATGCTAATGTTACACTGACCCAACCAGAAGGGTATATCAAGTAGTTAATTTTAAAACTACAGAAATACAGAAAAATGTGTAAGAAAAATGACTTATAGAACTTGGGGAACATATATAACAATTTGTGGGGTCCAATATATGTAATCAAGTCCTTCTGGCCTGTAACTGTGAGGCTTTTTTCCATAATTCTGTAGAAGCCAGTCATCTAATTACACAATGTTGTTTACCTTCTTCACACTTGATTTCTTTATACCCTTTATTTTGTAATTGTATCATTTATCTAGGAAGTTTTTGGTCATATAACTTACTTTGGTTTTTCCCTCTGTATAGGCTCTCTGCCTCCCTTTTTGAATTTAAAAATATTTGTTGAACGTTTCCCAAGTAAATACTGCTCATGTTAGCCAACAAAAAAAGAAACAATCTTTGTGAAAGCTGAGGTCATGAAGATTTCCTCCTGCTGTCTTCTTTCTTCTTTTCATCTAACGCTGTATTACTTTCAGGTATACACTGTCGTGGTTTGCTGTTTGTATGCAATGGGGAATGATCATGTTGAACGGTTGTTACCTTACGGAGGTATAATTTTTTTTTCTTGTGACGAGAACTTTTAAGATCTTCTCTTGCAACTTTCAAAGAGGCAGTATGTTTGCATCTTTGTGATAATAATGTGGGGTTATTAACTACAGTCCCTGTGCTCTACTCACATCCCCAGGACTTATTTTATAAGTGGAAGTTTGTGCCTTTTGATTATCTTCTCCCTCCAAATCACCAATCTGTTCCCTATATCTATGAGCTTGGTTTTAAAATTTCCTCTTTCTTGTGGAAGTCTAGTTGACTTACCCTATTATATCAGTTTCAGGTGTACAACGTAATGATTTGATATTTTTATAGATTATACATCATAAAAAGTTATTATAATATTATTGACTATATTCTTGTACTGTAAGAGGTTTTTTTTTTAGTTCCACATATAAGTGAGATCTTACACTGTTTGTCTTTCTCTTACTTAATTCACTTAGTGTAATTACTTAATTCACTTAGTGTAATGCCCTTAAAGTCCATCCATGTTGTTGCAAATGGCAAGACTTTCTTCTTTCCTTTTTTTATGACTGAGGAATACCACATTGTGTGTGTGTATTTCAATCACATCTTCTCTTTCCATTCATCCACTGATGGACGCTTAAGCTGTCTCCATGCCTTGGCTGTTGTAAATAACACTGTTGTGAACATGAGGGTGCAGATAATCTTTCTGAGTTAGTGTTCTTGCTTTCTTTGGGTAAATACCCAGAAGTGGAATTGCTAAATCATTTGGTAGTTCTGTTTTTAATATTTTGAGAAGCCTCTATGCTGTTTTCAATGGCGGTTGCATCAATTTACATTCCCACCAACAGTGTCCAAGGGCTCCCTTTTTACCACATCCTGGTCAACGCTTGTTATTTTGGTCTTCTTGATGATGGCCATTCTGAGAGGTGTGAGGAGGTCTTTTAAATTTTAATTTTTATTTATTTATGTTTTTGGCTGCGCAGTGCAGCATACAGGGTCTTAGTTCCCTGACCAGCAATCGCTCCCTGCACTGGGGTCTTAGCTACTGGGCCACCAGGGAAGGCCTCGTCTGGAGCATTTGGAATTGTCTTTGACCTGTGCGGTTCTGGGTGTGGATGTTGCTCTAAAGAAGTGATCACGTGCACGAGCCTTACATACACAGACGCTCGATGCTTTGTTGTCGGAAGGCCTTGGTGGCCCCTGGGCCCACAACTGGATATACTATAGCTCCCTGACCGTCCAGGATTTTGAGGAACATGTAACCATGTGAACATACACGTGATGTAAAAGAAAGCAAGAGCCAAAGCCTGCTTTCCGGACACGATTCCACTGTGTGATTTGAAAAAAACCCACATAACATGAAACTTCCCTTCCTGACTATTTTAAGCATACCATTCCGTTGGCCCTAAGTACATTCACAGGGTTACACAACCATCTTCCCTCTTCCTGAAAGTCTTTTTAATCGTCTTAAACAGAAGTATTGGAACTATTAGGCAGTAACTCCCATTCCCCTTTCCCCAGGCCTCTGGTAACCTCTGTTCAACTTTCTCTTTCTGATCTTGCCTTTTCTGGATCTCTCACATCAGTGGGATCAGATAGCATGGGATCTTTATGACGGGCTTCTTGGAGCATTGCGTCCTCAGGGCTTGGCCCGTGCTGTCGCAGCATCCGAGCTTCACCATCCCTCCCCGTGCTGAGCAGAATCGCGCCGCGTGGACAGACCCCGCTGCCTTATCTGTTCAGCGGTCAGTGGACAACTTGGGTTGCTGCCATTTTGTTCTTTGTTTGTTTATTTTCCGTTTATTTTTATTAGTTGGAGGCTAATTACTTTAAAATATTGTAGTGGTTTTTGCCATACGTTGATATGAATCAGCCATGGATTTACATATATTCCCCATCCCGATCCTGGGTTGCTACCATTTTTTCGATTGTTGTGGATGGTGCTGTTGTGAGCCAGGGTCTGCTGTTGGTCCAAGCCCCTGCTTTCAGTCCTCGTTTGCACACCTGACCGTGGACTTGTGGGTCACGGGGTGACTCTGGCTTTTTGGGGGATCCACCAGACTTTTCCCCAGGGTCTGCCCCACTTTCCCCTCCCGCTGGCTGGGGCTCTGGCTGCCAGGGGGAGGGGAGTGTGTGGGGAGGGATGAGGCGGCTCCCTGACCGTCATGGGGGAGGGTGCAGTCTGGGGGGGTGAGGGCGATGCTAGTGCCTTCAGCCCCTCTTTGTCCCCTCTCCCGCCATCCGCAGGCCAGCGAGGACAAGGTGAAGCAGCTGGTAAAGGAGATCGGCCGGGACATGCAGCAGCTCAGCATGGCCGGCTGCTACTGGCTGTCGGGCGCCACAGTGGAGCACGTGGCCCGCTGCCGCGGGCTGGTGCGCGTCAACCTGTCGGGCTGCCCGCTGACCTCCCTGCGCCTCTCCAAGGTTCTGTCGGCCCTGCCGCACCTGCGCTCCCTGGCCATCGACGTAAGCCCCGGCTTCGACGCCAGCCAGCTGAGTGGCGAGTGCAAGGCCACGCTGAGCCGCGTTCGGGAGCTCAAGCAGACGCTGTACACGCCCTCGTACGGCGTGGTGCCCTGCTGCACCAGCCTCGAGAAGCTGCTGCTCTACTTCGAGATCCTGGACCGCACGCGGGAGGGCGCCGTGCTCTCGGGCCAGCTCATGGTGGGCCAGAGCAACGTGCCGCACTACCAGCACCTGCGCATCTTCTACGCCCGCCTGGCCCCCGGCTACATCAACCAGGAGGTGGTGCGCCTCTACCTGGCCGTGCTCAGCGACCGCACGCCCGAGAACCTGCACGCCTTCCTCATCTCTGTGCCTGGCAGCTTTGCCGAGAGCGAGGCCACCCGGAACCTGCTGGAGTCCATGGCCCGCAACGTGGCGCTGGACGCCCTGCAGCTGCCCAAGTCCTGGCTCAACGGCTCGGCCCTGCTGCAGCACATGAAGTTCAGCAGCCCCTTCTACTTCAGCTTCAGCCGCTGTGCCCTGTCCGGCGGCCACCTCCTGCAGCGCGTCATCGACGGCGGCAGGGACCTCCGGAGCCTGGCCGGCCTGAACCTCAGCGGCTGTGCGCACTGCCTGGCACCCGACTGCCTGCTCCGCAAGGCAGAGGACGACATCGACCCCGCCATCCTGGAGGCGCTGGTGGTGGCCTGCCCCAACCTGCGGCACCTCAACCTGTCGGCCGCCCACCACCACAGCCCCGAGGGCCCGGGCCAGCACCTGTGCCAGCTGCTGGCCCGGCTGCCCCGCCTGCGCTCCCTGTCACTGCCCGTCTGCGCCGTGGCCGACTCCCCGCCACGGGCCGACCGCACACCTGTCCCGCCCGCCATGCGTGCGGTGCCCCGGGGCTTCGGCAAGAAGGTCCGCATCGGCGTGCCATCCATCTCCTTCCCCGGGCCGGCAGGCCCCCAGCCGTCCTCGGTGTTCTGGTCACTGCTGAAGAACGTGCCCTTCCTGGACCGCCTCGAGCTAATCGGCTCCAACTTCTCATCTGCCATGCCGCGCAATGAGCCCGCCATCCGCAACTCCCTGCCACCCTGCAGCCGGGCACAGAGCGTCGGGGACGCAGAGGTGGCCGCCATCAGCCAGCTGGCCTTCCTGAGGCACCTGACGCTGGCCCAGCTGCCCAGCATCCTGACGGGCTCGGGGCTGGTGAGCATCGGCCTGCAGTGCCAGCAGCTGCAGTCGCTCTCGCTCGCCCACCTGGGCCTGATGGGCAGCGTGGTCTACATGTCTGGCCTCTCAGACATGCTGAAGCACTGCAAGCGGCTGAAGGACCTCAGGTGAGGGGGCCCGGCCGCCCCTCCACGGCCCCTGTGGGTCCTTCCGCAGTCTCCAGGGCACAGAGCGAAGTGCAGAGTGCAGCCTTGAGTTCGGCAAGCGTTTACATTCCTGCCGCGTGCCTGCCAAGACGGAGGGTGCAGGCCTGAGAGTCTCGAGGGCTGGGGGCTTGACCAGGGACTGATGGTGTGTAGTGGGGGGCGTGGGGGTGGGGGGCTGGAGCCACAGCGGTTGGTGGCATCCCGGCAGAGCGCACAGGGGCTGTGCTCCTGAGCCTAGTCTGGGACATCGCCCTTGTCGCTGGCTTTCTGAGTGCCTGCGTTCCAGAGGCTCGGGCGCCGGTCAGAGGGGGGCCCGACAGGTGGGCAGGCACTGGGGGGGGCCTGAGCCCCTGTCTGTGCCCACAGAGCCTCACGGAGCGAGCTGTGGAGGGCGGAAGGGCGAGGGGCCACGGGGGAACACACACACAAACACACCGCCCCAGGACACAGCCAGTCGTGGCAAGTGTGCCTCTTCCTCCTCTGCCCCGGGGCCCCGGCCGCAGACACTGGTCACTCGCACCAGGTGAGCTCAGCTCCGGTGCTGGCTGCCCACGGGTGGAGTGGATGAGTCCCCCACGCCTGCCGTGAACACCTGTGACAGGTGTCTGTGGGGATGGACCTGGAGGTGGCGGGCACGTTAAGAAAAGAGAAAAGCGTTGAGAAGTCTGTATGTACTGCGTGCTCTCCCCTCTGCCGCTTGAACAGCGAGATCCCCTGTGGGAAGTGAGGCCCCGCATCGCCACCTAGTGACCGAGGTGCTGCAGCATGTCCTTCACTGGGCATGGCCGTCCCGCAGGCAGCTGGGGCTGGGGCGGGGGGTGATTGCAGCTTAGCAGTCCTGGGTCAGGGCTTGTCTCCCAGCTCGAGTGTTCCCATTTTCAGCAGCCCTGCCCCGGGGGGGCTTCCTTCCTACTGGACCCGGAGAGAACGTGAGGCCTTTCAGAATCATGCCCAGAGGGATCCCCTGTTCCCCACGGTTTTAGGAGCCCGGGAGACCTGCTTACATGTGATTAAAGCCCCCAGCTCCCTGCTGCATTTCGTTTCAGGGCCTGGTGGCTCCCGTGTGGGACGGCTCTGAACAGACATCCCATCACCTCAGACCTGATTTTAAAATCCCTTCCCCTGCTGTGCCTTGCCTGTGTCCCTGGGCATCAGGAGGCTGAGTGTGGGCCCTCGGGCTCTTGTCTGGGGAAGGGGAAGACAGCCCCTTCCCCAGGCCTGCCTCGCCCAGGGCGTCAGTGCATTCAGAGCGCGCAGGCTCTCCTGACGCCTGGAGGCTTTCTGCCTCAGCACAGGCCCGCCGCCTCTGCGGGCAGTGGGCTCGGGGTTCTTGCTGCTTGTCCTGGAAGCCCCTCCTTGGATGACGAGAGCCCACGGCTGCAGACCAGCTTCTCGGGGGCGGCCCAGGAAGGCTCTCACTCAGCCTCCTCAGTTTACCAGGAGAGACGGGCCTTTCGGGGTTCCCTGTGGGTCTCACATGTTGATGGAGGTCTTGCTGGCCTCCCAGGCCCACCGAGAGCGTCAGCTTCTGTTCCAGGAGTTACACCACGTTTGTGCTGTGTCTGGGCCTTGGAGGTGGGGGTGGCTGGACCCAGGGGTCTCAGGACTGTGTCACCCCAGGTGTGGCGGTGTCCCCACAGTGTGGGTGTGGCCTGGTGGGGGGCTGTCCTGTGCCTTGCTCCCGGCCGTTGTGTTCACAGGGAGCGTGAGGGCCCACGGCACCCTGCACGATGGCCATCAGAGGCCTGGGTGGCTGGTTGAGAGGAAACCTTGCCTGGTGCCCACTCGCCGCCCTCCTGGTCATCAGGGTCAGACGCAGCTCCCTGAACTGTAGCTTCCTGCAGATATGCCCAAATCTCCATTACTCTGTGAGGCCTCTCTCGCCCGCTGCAGCGCCTGTGCGCCCTCTGCCCGCTCTGGGCGGACGTCTCTGGCCAGCCTCTCCCTCTTGTGCCACCAGCTTTGAAGTGGCTTGGGCCAGGTGACCGGGGACTCCCCCAGCAGGCAGAGCGAGCTGTCAAAGCTCAGATGACAGCCGAGCATGTCTGAGAGGTACCGCTGGGGCCTGGTGCTGATCTCCAAGGGTATCCCTTATTAACAGGTTTCCTTGTGGGAAGGTTTCGGGTGGACCGGATCCTCACCGACCTCTGTCCATGAGGCTGTCTCGGTCTTCCTGTGTGATTTACCAGGAAACAATCTCAAGCTCTGCTTGTGCCCCAGCTCCCTGCCCCGGGCTTCTGTGCCAGTATCCTGGGGCTGCCGTGACAAACGACCACCAGCTGGGTGGCCCAGGACAACAGGGTTGTCCTCTTACGGTCAGGAGGCCGGGAGTCCCAGGTCAAGGTGGGTGGGAGCCTGTGCCAGGCCTGTCCGGCCTCCGGTGGCCGTGGGCAGAGTGAGCATCTAGCGTCGTGGACGTGTCCCTGCAGTGCATCCTGGCACAGGGCCAGCTCCCTGTGCTGTCACATGGCTTCTAAGGAACTGGTCATCGGACCGGCTCCTGCCCCAGTCCTGTGTGCCTTAAGTCCTTTGTGTCTGCAAAGACCCTGCTTCCAAACAAGGGCCCTCCCCACCACCGCCCCGTGCAGGTCCTGAGGGGTGGGGCTGCAGACGTCTTTTGCGGGGCGCTTTCAGCTGGCCCCTGCTCCCCTCCTCATCCTCCCGGCTCTCAGGGGCCCTGAGGAGGCGGTGTAGCCAGCAGAGCGAGCCTGCTAGGTCTGTGGACAGCTGGTTGTGTCCGGCCTGCGGGCTCTCCCCCCAGATCAGGATCACCGAGGAAGACCCTGGGGGTCTGAGTCCTCCCATGGTGCCCCCGGGGGGCTGTGGTGTGGACGGGCCTGGGGGTGGCCAGCCCGGGCCCCCGGAGAGGAGCCCCGCTCCGTGCACACCCATCGCCCGCCGTCTCACGCCGTGTGTCCTCTCTCCCTGCAGGCTGGAGCAGCCCTACTTCAGCGCCAACGCCCAGTTCTTCCAGGCTCTGAGCCAGTGCTCCGCGCTGCAGCGCCTCTGCCTGGTGTCGCGTAGCGGGACCCTGCAGCCCGAGGCCGTGCTGGCCTTCATGGCGCGCTGCCTGCACGTGGTGGTGTGCCACCTGTTCACCGGCGAGTCCCTCAGCACCTGCCGCAGCCTGCAGCAGGCCCTCCTCCGCAGGTGAGCGGGCAGCCCCTTGCGGGCGGCAGGACCCTCCTCCCCGTTGCCCATCACGCCCTTTTTCTGCACGGGTTCGCTTCAGAGCCCCTGTTGCGCCTGGTGGGCCATCTGGAGAGCGCTGGGCCGGCTGAGTGCCTGGGGGGCCCGGGGGAGGCTGCTTCCAGCCCTGCCTCCCGAGGACCTCTGCCCCCTTCCTTCCTGGGAGCCTCCACCTCGAGCAGCAGAGGCCTGGCTCTTGTCCCCGTGCTGTTTGCTCACTTGTCCCCATTTCCCCCCCACCCCCCGGAGTGCAGGGTCCTAGAAGCAACAGTCAGGCCATGTCCAGGAAGTGGCCTGGTTGCTTGCTCTCCTGCATGGCCATCCCAAGCCTAAGCTTCCCTGTGGGTGGGAGAGCCCTTGGCCCACAGCCTTGCCCATGCGAGACGCCGCCAGACTCTCCCTGGGCTCCTGGGTGAGCCTGTCCTCCCACTGCGTGAGTCCATGTGGCGTGTTTCCAGGAGACATCGTTGCGTTTGCCCGTTGCCTGGTCACGTCTTCTCATCTGAGCTCAGTTCGCCTCATTCCTGGGGGACCCTACTGTGGGGTTCCTTCAAGGAGTGGCAGGTGCTTGGGACCAGTGAGCCCACACTGCAGTCGCCGTGCCAGCACCTGTCGTGGGCCCACCTCTCCGATGCTGGCTTTCCCTGCCATCTGTGTTCACTGTGGATTCAGGTTATGGCTGTGGGTCCAATAACCTCCCCTACTGACCCTCCTACGTCCTAACCGTCTTCTTAAATCTGCCACTTGTTCTGGCCCCTGATCCAAGAACCCAGGCAGCAAAGCCTCTTGGTTGGTGTATAAAACGCAGCTCCATGGGCTTTGAATGACAGCTGCGGGGACTCTCCGGGGCAACTGCCAGACGTGAACCTGACCCCTTTGTGCTCAGAAAGTTCAAAGACTGCTGTAAACACTGCTCCCGTGGGTGTTACCTGAGCCCATGGCAGATGCCTTTGGCCAAGTGAGCGTGTGCTGTCGGTCTAGCAGGAGATGGTGAACTTGGCTTCATCTACGATTTGTAGGGAAGCAGTTAAGTGAAGAGATGTCTGCAGGGTCCACTCCCACTGGACACTCCAGATCCTGTGACCTCTCACCTATGCCCTCCGGAAGCTCTTTGTGGCACTCTGGAAGTTCTCTGTAGCGCTCCGGAAGTTCTCCTGGTCTCCGGGGTCCTTTCTGAGGGCCAATTATGTCAAGTGCAGAGACCCCTCTGGGGCTTCTAAGCCTTTCAGCGCACACTGGAGAAGTCAGGGCTGGGGGCGGAACCTAAGTCTCAGAGAGGTTGACTGCTGTTCCTTCTGATGGCTGTGCGCCTGCCAGCCAGGCCTGGTGAAGCCCTTCCAGGTGCTAGGTGTTTTTTTAATAAGTGTGCTAAGTCGCTTCGGTTGTGTCCGACTGCTTGTGACCCTATGGACTGTAGCCTGCCAGGCTCCTCTGTTCATGGTGTTCTCCAGGCAGAAATACTGAAGTGGGTTCCATGCTCTCGAGGGGATCTTTCTGACCCAGAGAAAATGGTATTTTTAAAAGATCTTTAAATACACCTGAGCTAAAGTGTATGATTTAATTGTTTCACGGCGCGCAGTTACTGGCACTGAGCACGTTCACAAAGGAACCTCGCTCTGCTTTTGTTTCTGTGAGCTGTCGCAGACGTCTTTTCACTCTTCCCGTTTTCTGTGTCTCTGTACTTTGTCCAGATTTAGGAGCAGCAGGTGTTTGGGGGTCTGTAGGTAAGTGCGGAGACCTCACAGGATTCTGCCTCCTTGTGGGTCTGTGTGTCCTCCTTGCCCATCTGGGCCTTTGCAGAAGGTGTGTGGTATGTACACACCAGGCCGTGTCCTTCCCTGGCGGGTCCTGGAGTTTGACAACCGGTCCAGCAGGAATGTAGATCGGCACTCAGGACTGGAGTGCGGGCCTGGAGCAGCCCTTCCTGGGGAGGGGGGTCTGCCCCGAGCGGGTCCTCAGGGGTGTCTAGCGCTTAGACCCCCTGGAGAGGAAACGTGGTGATGCAGCTGTGCCCCTGGTGGCCGTCGAGTGTGGACCCGGGGGTCCCAGCCCCCCCCTCCCAGATCTCCATGTCCCACGGATGGGGGAACATGACAGGGAGGAGGCCAGGCTGGTCACAGAATCACAGACGTGCCATCGGCCAGGAGGCCGCGAGCCACAGGGCTCAGACCGCCCCACCACACGGCCCTCGTGGGGCTGCCAGCCCTCGCACTTTGCTGTCGCCTCTCTCAGGAGAAGTCCTAGCAGAGCTTCTCTCCTCCCTGCTGTTCAGGGTCTTTCCAAAAACTGAGACTGGATCAAGCTGTTTTCAAGTGGAAGCTCCCCGTGGCTCCCCCAGCCAGAGTGGCCTGTGGTTCTAGGACGGAGTCATCATGTTGTTTGTGCTGATTTTGTTGAGTGACTGCTGCATCGGGGTGTCTTTCTGTGTCATTAAAGCTGCACACGGTCCCTTTTAATGCCGTTTGGCATCCGTCACAGGACATTGTGGTGCCTCTGGCCTGGCCTTCACAGCTGACCGTGCACTTGTGACGCCCCCATCTCTCAGGCCTGGGCTTTTCCTGCTCCTGGGAGCCTGGAAAAAGGCCAGGTGTTGTGGAGGAGACACTCCCCACTCACCATTGTGTCTCCACCCTCGTTTAGGGCCCTGGGGGCACGGTATTTGAGACCAGGCCTGAGGCCGATGTTGGCTGGGTGGACTTCCTGGGCGCAGGCTGGGGCCGTGGTGGGGACCCGCCGAGCGCCTGGTGCCCGGGGCCCCGTGCGTGCCAGAGCGTGGCCCCCCGTGGGCTCCCCCTGCCATGTCCCGCCTCTGTGGTTCCCGCCGCCCCAGGACCCTGTGAGCTGTGTGGGGAGACCAAGGCTCCAAGAGGCGGTGGAGGTGTAGCGGGACCCGCGCTGGAAGGACACGTCTGTGTCCCCGCAAGGCGTCTGCTGCGGGGCAGGGGGTCCCGGCTGTGCTTCTGCCAGGCGCCCAGCAGGTGGTGCCGTGGCTCGGGGATGGCGCTGGCTTCAGGCGTCACGGCAGCACACCTTCTGCCAGGATCCCGACCAGGAGGGGCTCGTGGTGTCGTCACCTTTTCTCACGCGGTTCCTGCCTCAAGCTCAGAGAGTTACTGAAGCACCTGCCTGCTCACCCGCGTGCCTCTGAGGTCCAGCAGTTACAACTCCAGACTTTCACTGCCACGGCTGGGGTTCCATCCCTCATCGGGGAACCGAGATCCCACAAACCACCCAGTGCAGCCAAAACAACAAAATAAGGCAAAACAAAATGAAAAATCATGTACAGAAAATGACCTGCCAGCCCTGTTACAGGTAGAGATCTGAGTGTCCTGGCTGCCTGCCTCCACAGCAGAGGGGACAGGCCCAGACACAGCCTTCACACCAGGCAGGCGTCCGAGGGCGCAGGACAAAGAAAGGACCCAGCTCCCCCCGTGAGAAAGGCAGGAAGAGCTCTGCTTCTGGAAAGTGCAGGGGCAGGCCGCGGTCCGCTCTGGTAAGGGTGGTGGTGACTTCCTGGAGGGGGTCGGCTGCAGAGTCTCATGTGGGCGCTGGTCACGACCCTTTTCACCCCTTCAGGCAAGGCCCACTCGTGTTAGTGGAGGGAGGAGACCACCTGTTACAGGAGGCGGGTGGGCCAGCTCGGTGGAGGCTGAACTCACATCCTTGACCCAGCCAAGCTGCCGGCTCCAGTCCTGCAGATGGGCTTGAGGCAGGGTTTACACCAAGCTCTCCCTGGTGGTGGCGGCGCTGTTTGTTTTAGCAGAAGACGGAACACAACCCAAGAGCAAATCAGTAGGAGTTGTTTAGTCTGTCAGTCGTGCTTGACTCATTTGCGACCCCATGGACTGTAGCCCACCAGGCTCCTCCGTCCATGGGATTCTCCAGGCAAGAGTGCTGGAGTGGGTTGCCGTGTCCTACTCCAGGGGATCTTTCTGACCCAGAGAGTGAACACACATCTGCATTGCAGGTGGATTCTTTACCCCTGAGCCACGTGGGAAGCCCCCCATCTGTAGGAGGCTGGGAAGTAAGTTATGATGCGCCCAGCCAATGTAATGAAATACAGCCTATAAGAGACTTGGGGTCACCCCAGGGAGTCTTTCAAGGTGTGTCTCAATTTGAACAAAAGCAGGGCCGTTCTGTTTCTCTCTGGCGCCTCTCTGAGGTGTTTCTTGAAGTCTGTGAGAAGTCTGCGGTGTTGGTCCTGGAGGTGTCTTTGTTGGGGGGAAGGGGAGGCGCCCCTCTGCATCGCCCTGGCCTGCCTCCTTCAGGCCTTTCTGGTGACAGAGCCTCACGCCGAGTTACTGGCTCCAGGGGTCCAAGCCCATGGGTTTACAGTCCTGTCCCTCCGCATGGGAGGGGGGCGTGTGAGCCCCGACGCGGAGGGCCTCTCCCTCCCCGCTCCTCTGCAGGAGGGTGGATACAGGCTGCCCCTGGGGGTCCCCACAGGCTTGGCAGGGAGCTCGGGGGGCATAGCCCACACACCTGCCCGGAGTGTGTCTTGCGTTCTGAGGATCTTTAGGAACTGTTTTATTTGTGGCCACTGCCCGCCTCCCTGCTTCTTGAAAACCCGTTACAGCAAGAGCGGCTTGTATAAAGGTCTTCTGACTTTGGCTTTCCTATAAGACCTTTATCTGGGGGGTTGGGGACTGAGGTTGTCAACTTTCATTTTTTTTCTAGTTTCTCAGGCCAAGAAACAAGCCAGCAGGTATTACTGAGATGAGTGAGCCAGCGCTGCTGCCAGGCCGAGGCCCCAACCAGCCCCTCCCGGAGCCCTTCCAGCTCCGAGGCACCTGTGGGGCCAAGCATGGAGACTGAGGTCCCTGGGGCCCCCTCGTGCGCTCATGGGCCGGGCCTGAGGTCCCGGGGCTGTGGCCGCCTCGTCGAGTCCTGTGTCGGCGGCGAGCGTGGGGCTCAGCCTCCCAGCCGGCTGCCCCCCCAACTGCCCCTCCGTGTCAGCCACAGGCAGACACGCCGCGGGCCGCCCCCTCCATCTCCCCACCCCCCGCCACTCTGCAGCCGCATCCCCTCGGCTCCTTGCTGTGGGGTCCGAGCCCTCCGTGGGCCCGTCTTTTGACGTGCAGACATGTTCACGCCCTCTGACCCAATGGCCCTGTTTCTGGAATTTATCCTAAGGAAACAACACAAGCGCATGTATGATTATACTGTGTGAAACGAGGCTTACCAATACGAGCGTGGAAGGGGTCCCTAAACTGTGTCCCCTGGGGAAGTGGCCTGCTGGCCGGGGAGGGACCACAGAGGAGGTGGTCCCCGGCCCGGGTGCTTTATTGCTTTGGGCGCAGGTTGGACACAGCCCCGAGGACTGCAGGAAATTCACCAAACCCAACTCACGTCGTCTGCGTCCTGAGACGTCACCCGGGCCACATCTAGGAGGAACAGATTCAGCACAGCAGGAGAGGGTGCGTTGGCGCCATGGGAGGGGCTGGCAGAGCTGCCGGGGGCTGGGGGCCCTGCGCTCACCTTACACTTTCTCTGTCGTGTTTTCTCTCTGAACACAACAGTGGTTTTAAGACAAGCAAAATCTTGTCTGCTTCCTGGAGGCTTAGAGAAAGCATTTGGGGCAGCTGAGATTCTCAAGTACCCAGAGGCCCCTTGGAAATCCCCTGGTGTGTGTGTAACAGCCGCAGGTAGAAAGTTTTCTTCGGCGTGTCTCCTCCCTTCCGGCCATTGCGAGTGGCAGAGAGTCAGTCTGGTTGAACTTTCTGAAGCCTGTATCTTGTTGGTGCCCTCGGAGCCCCCAGGAGGGGCGGCATCCAGGGCAGCGTCTCCTCTCGCCATCTAGAGCTTTTGTTGCCTCTCGTGGGGGCCAGGTTCAGAGTGAGTGTGGCCTGAGTGTGGGCTCCAGACATCCTGCCTCTTTCTACCCCAGACGGGATCCGGGCTAGCGGGGTGAGGGGAGGCGGGGGCTTCCCTGTCTCTGCTGCCCAGGATGGTGTGGGGATTGCTGAGGGCGGAGCTGGGTGTGGGAGGACGTGCACCCCGTGCCTGGAGGTGAACCCGTCAACCAGGCAGGTCTGGCTTTTGTCCTTGCAACTCCAGGCTGCAGCCTTGGGTCTTTCCTCTCATGATGCGATGGGCCCTGGTCAGGGGAGCGCCCTCAGAGGCGGCCAACCCTGCTGTGGCTCATCCGTCTAGTTCTGAACGGGGGGACAGCAAGGAGATTTATTTTCTTTCTGCATCAATTTACTTCAGTCTCAGACCACACTTGAATTGTACACAGGAACATTACAACCCATGTGCAGGTGACCCCACAAAACCCGTGGACGGATGGCCCCCCACACGAGCCCCACCAAGAGCCTGTCTCCCCGCCCTGGGAAGGGAGAGGGAACTTCAGCCCCACCCTCAGAAGGAGCGATTGCTCTGCCTGCCGTTGCCCCTTGTCCACTTTTCGTCCAGACTTCACTCTGCCTGGGGATGGTGAGACTCCAGCCGGGAGGGCACGTGGGCTCCTTGGCCTGGGAGGCGCCTTTCAGAGGCATGAGGGTGACTGAGCACCCCCTCCCCAGCTCCCGCTGTGTCAAGGTGGGGGCTGACCTGGATGCTGACCCCAGAGAAGGCCTTGGGAAGGATGTCGGTTTACCTGGGGCACGAGTCACAGGTCAGGGCTGCTCGGAAGGGGCAGCTGCACTCCGGGCTTCGGTGGTATTATCGGCATCTTGACGGCGGCTCCATAAGAGCCTGAGGGAGGCAGGTGGGCGGGCGGGCGTCTTGCACGCACGTCCCACACCCGGGACTATTTTGTTTCAAGTCAAGTTAATCACACAGCAGGCTTGCAGGTGAGGACTTGCCCACGAGGTTCATGGTCACAGACGCTCCTGCCGGGAGCAGAACGCGGTGCACAAAACCAGGAGGCATTTCCTCAGCCTCTTTATTGCCACAACATCAAGTTTTATGAATGCCTTTCTGGCGTTCAGTTCGCACATGTCGTAAATCCAGTGCAGTGCTGCTGGGGGTGGGGTGGCTGGGGGATTGAGGGAGGCTGGGACTGTGGTTTCCTTGTTCCTTGCAGCAGGCGTGGGCTGGGGGGCGGCCTGGCTTTAGTTTTAGCAAATCATGTGGCCACCGTCTTGCCTCTCTCCGCGATCATATGGGATGGGAGTTCCTCCTGTGACGAGACTCACCTTGGCTTTTGGGTGGGAAGGGGGCGGTCACCCCGCTGGCCAGGGGCTACGGGGAGGTGACCTGCGGTGACGTCTTGTCGGCCGCAGCGTGGTGCCCGGCCCGGCAGAGGCTCTGTGTAAACTGTCCCCCACCCCACCGGGTGGAGCCTGGCGCCCGAGGGTGCCTGAGGTGGAAGGCTGGTCTGACCTCTGCACACACAGGTTCGGGGCTGGTGGCAGGCGCCGTGGCGTGTCCTCCCGGCAGTGACAGCGTCGCCTGACTTGGGAGTCGGTGTGCCTCTGGGTGGTCTGTGTGCGTGCGGGGTTGGCCGCCTGTCCCCCACCCCCGCCCCTGCTGAGTCCTGGCTGTGGGACCTCGGTGCTGTGGTTCCCTAGTGTCACCTTCAGGGGACCCTCCCCCCCACTGCCCCAGGGAGACAGGGCCTGCTCGGACAGTGGGAAGGTCCCCGCACACACTCCCGCGTCAGCTGCCCCGTGGGGACACAGCCTGCGCAGCCCGCTAACGACTTGCCTCTGGTTCAGTTTCCAGGCAGAGCGGCCCGCGCTGAACGTCGTCATCTTCCCCCTGCTCCACGAGGGCCTGACCGACGTGATCCGGGACGTGCCCATGGTGCACCTGGACGAGGTCACCTTATTTAAAAGCAGAGTGGCTGAGGAGCCCCCCAACCTGTGGTGGTGATGGGGGTGGGCGCCTGCACGCCTGCGGCCGCCTGCAGCCACAGACACACAGCCTGGACGGGCGCGTGGCCTCCCCCTCAGCCACGGCTGCTGCCCCTGCCCGCCCGCCCAGGCCCACATCCCCAGGGGCCCCAGGGGGAAGGAAGCCACCTCCCCGGCTGTCTCGTGCACCCACCCGGCCCCCAGGCGCTTCCTCTCATGAGGACTCTGGGCTCAGCGCCCCTCGGCTGAGATAGGAAGGAGGGAGGCGAGGGCGGCTGGCCGGTGACCTGGGGGCCCGGCTGGGGTGCCTCCCGGGTGCAGACCAGGTCTCCAGAGCCCTGCGTGGCCCCAGTGCCCCCGCCCGGGAGTGTCCCTTGACTCTGCGCTGCTGGTCGGTGGCCTCCAGGCTCTGGGGAGGGGCGGAGGGGAGCTCCGGGTGGGGGGCTTCAGTTTGGGGCTCCCTTTTTCCTGTTAACCCAGAATCCGCTTCCTTTCCAGCCAGACGACATCAGGCAGGTTCAGGCCAGCGACGGGTGGCCGGGTGTCCCCCGTTGCACGCGGTCACAGCTGCCAGCTCTGAAAGCTGCGGGTCCCTGTTTCTGGGGAAATGTAGGCAGACCTGCTTCGTTAGAAAAACTTGAAAGATTAAAACCCAGAAAGGATGTGTGAGGCCAGAGGAGCGGTCCCATTACCCCGTTTCAGAGAGCTGTATTTAGCACTTTAAAAAATGGCACCGCAGCTATTCCCAAAATGAGGGGCAGCCTCCCCGAGTCCCAGCCTCACACCCTGGGGTCACCGGGTGCCTCTGCCTTGTCACTGCGAGACTCTCCCCAGAGCCATCACCCCCATGGCTGGTGGGCTTCCGGGGGCGCCGGTTGGGTCCCTGCACCCAGAGTCTGGCCCCGACACCCCTGGTGATGTTCCTGGAGATGTCCCGGGAAGGCTGGGCGGCATCAGGGGGCCTTCCAGCTGGGGGCCCCTGGGTCTCCAAGAGGCTGCCTCCCCAGGGCCCAGGGCTGGCCTCTGCCCCTCTGGGCTGGGTGTGCAGGCTGCCGGGCCCGCCTTGCCGCTGCTGCCCCCCGTGGCTGCTGCCTGCTCCGTGGCCCCCAGCCTCACTGGCTTCCTGCTCTGTTGCACATGCTGGTTGCCCCCGTTGCGTCTCGCCTGTCCTGTCGTTTGCCTGTTGAAGGGACCTGGACCCTGAGCCCACGTTCGCCTGCCCTTCCTGGGGGCAGACAGTTCAGCAGCCCTCCCCCTGCCAGGCCCAAGGGGTCAGGAGGCCTTCGGATGGCAGGAGCGCGCCTAGGGTCAGGTTCCCGGGCGCACCCAGGCCCCCAGCGCTCCGGTCAGTGCTTCTTAAGCGCCGTCTGTCCGGCGGCCTCCTCCCGCCCCACGGCCCTGGCCCTGCTCTCGCCTCCCTGCACCGGGCGGACGGTGTGTTTGCACGTGGAGCTGGGCTCCTCCCCAACCCCATGGCTTTCCTGCCGTGGGTGCCATTGTGTCTTCTGGAGCGTGGGGTGCCCCCCTCCCTCCCCAGCTGCCGCGGGCGGCCTTCTGCCTCCTGCTGGGAGGGACTAGCATGCCAGCTGCTCCAGGGGAATGCCCCGCGGTGGGGCCCTCACCCCACGGGCCTGGCCGGCTGCTCTGGTCTCCCGCAGGCTGCAGGCCAGGCTGCCCTGGGCCCCAGAGAGACAGGGCCACACACTGTGGACGAGGGTCTGAGAGGCGGTAGGATCCTCCCCCCACGTGTTTCTGGGCATTTCTGTCGGATGCACCTAGAGACCACCCGGAGGGCCATCAGGAAGGTGGTGTGGGGACTGACCGCTTCCCTCACGGCAGGGCTGTGGCCAGCTTCGGCCTGACTAGCCGGGGACTCAACCCAGGATGGGGGCAGGAGGCCCCGGGACCCTGTACACGTGTCTTTTCATCCAGAGCAGCTGGGCTCAGGCCAGAGAGTGACCTTCCCACTGGGACCTTCCCCGCAGGTGGCCATGGTTCTCACGAGCAAGCGCTTTCCACCAGCAGCCTCGTCTATGCCAGCCAACAGGGCTGGGCGGGGCCGTTCACGGGAGGCTGGGGCGTGAGCTGCCTTGGAAAGCAGCCCCCTAAGAGGGGGCTTGTGTTTTTACTGTCCCCCTGACCACCCTTTACTTAGAGCAAGAATTTCCCCTACTCCTGCAACCGAGACAGGACTCACCAGATGTCAATAATGTGCTTATTCTCGCTAAGTGCTATTTTGGCACCGTTGTTAATTGCAATTTATATTCTGCAGCATTTTTATGCTGGGAAAAGAACCCACCCTGATGGTCCCCAATTGGCGGATCTGGGCTGTTAAGCAGCGGACCATATGCTGCCTGCGGAGAGGGGCCTGGTCAGCACTGGGGCCTGCGTGTGCATGTGTGTGTGTGTGTGTATGCGTGCGTGTGTGTGCATGGAGCGTGCATGTACATCTATGTGCATGCACGTGTGAGTGTAATCTGCCGTGTAAGAGTTCTGTTCTTGGTGTGCACACGAGTGTGGGTATACACGTCTGCATGGTGTGTGCGTGAGACAGACACCGAGGAGCTGGGAATGAGGGAGGAGGAGACCCTGACGTTTCTCCCATTGTTAACAAGAGACCCCAACTGGCCTCCCAAAGCCGCCCCTCTGCCGGTGCCCCGCCCGAGGCCCGGAGGCCCCGCCTGCTCCTGGAACTGGGCTCTTGCTAAGTTCGTGCCCCCAGGCAGCACGGCCACGGGCCGAAGGTGCTTGCGATCCCGGAGGCTTGTTGGCTTGTTGGCTGCCTTTCGAGGACTCGGGAAGACAGGTCCGAGGGTCCCTTCTCCAGGTTTCCAAGGGCATTTCCGCTCAGGTCTGGGGCCGAGCTTGGCAGAGGCCTCGCCTGGGGAAGAGGAGCCAGGGTGCCTGGGTCTCTGCTGGCCGGAGGGCCATCCAGCGGTCACAACCTCATTGCCCCGGTGGTCTCCCGGTGCGTGGCCAGGATGGTGGCGGGTCCCAGTGCGTAACCGCTCCAACCTGCCCAGCCTGGCAGCGGGGGGCCTGCCGGGATGGGTCCTCCCTCCCGCCCTCTGAGCAGCACCGCTCAACCTTCTGCTTCCTCTGGGCCTCCCTGTCGCGTTAAGATTTGAAAAGCCCTGAGACCTTAGAAAAAGAAAGGGAGATTGGTGGGTGAGGATACCAGAGTGTGGCCCCTGCTGAGGGAGACATGGACGCCGACTCGTGGTCTTTGTGGCCTTGGCCCTGGGCCCCCTCCCCGCTGACAGGAGAGGGACGGGGAAGCCCCTCCCCGTGCGGAGGGGCTCAGGGCACAGGATTCTGACCAGCAGTGTCTCTGGTCCGCCGGGTGTGATGAGCAAACACCCATAGAAACTCACACAAACCCCAGGTCCCACACAGGCTGACCAGCATCATCTAAATTACTTTCTGAAGTTTTTTTCAAAAAACACTGACGTATGAGGTCTTGCATTGGAAGCACAGGGTTGGGACACTGGCTGTACCAAACTCCAGGCCAGCGGGACCCAGAGGCTGCCCTGCCGTGCCCGCCGGGTGAGCGAGGGGCTGTGAGCGGCGGGCGGGCAGAGGGGTGTGTGCAGGCGAGTGCTTTTGCCTGTGTGCCGTGGCACGGGACACCCCATGGCCCCCAGTTGCCTCCAGCCACTCTGCTGCCCGCCCGCCCACCTGACCCTGCCCTTCCGACCAGAGTCCCACTCAGCACGGGCTCCGTCGTGAGGGGGTGGGGCGGGGGGTGCCAGGCTGTCTCGTGGCTGTGTGTGTGTGTGTGACCAGGTGCTAAGTGACCGAATTCGCGTCACCTGCCTTTCGATGCCAGACCTTCTTGTCCTTTGGCGAAGCTGCTCCTGAATTTTCTGTTCCAACTTACATTTCAAATGGGTATTTTCATGTAAATTTGTGGCATGTCAGAAGTTTCAAATAAAGTGGACTTGATTTAGCAAAACCAGGCAGCTGCGTGGTCCTTCCAGCTGGGGCGCCCCCTGACCTTTTCCCTGCGACCCCGGAGGGTGGGCCGAGGTAGGGGCGCTCCAGTCACCCGCTGCTGTTCGGGTGTTGAGGACAGAATCTCTGCCGGGCTGCTTGGGGGTCCCTGGAGGGAGACATGAGACCCCACACGGGGCCCAGTCGCTGCCTGGGGCTATCAGGGGGCAGCCGCTGACTCAGCCTTTCCAGGCTGGAGGGTGGGGGTGGCAGAGGCCACGAGGAGGGGCACAGCCAGGGCGGAGCTGGCGGGCAGGGGTGCAGGACGCCGGTGGAATCTGAGTGGCCCTCCACATGGAGGCTCTGTGTGGCTGGCAGAGGCTGGGCCAGCCCAGGTGTTATATGGGGGCTGTGGGCAGTGATGAAACCGAGTCAGTTTCATTTTCATTTAGTATACATATTTGTGTTTTCCAGGTGTAAAATGTATATAACATAAAACTCACTGTCTATGGAGAAGGAAATGGCAACCCACTCCAGTATTCTTGCCTGGAGAATCCCATGGACGGAGGAGCCTGGTGGGCTACAGTTCATGGGGTTGCAAAGAGTCAGATACGACTGAGCAACTTCACTTTCACTTTCACTTTCAACCCTCAGCTGCGAAGACTTTCAGCTCTTGTGTTTGCTATTGATTGTTTTCTTGAGTTCTCAAAGACCTGTGACCATATTTTTTTTTTAAGTTGCCTGTTTTCTAATTGCATCACTTTACACACTGTTGTCTAATAATATGTGGTATTTAGATTGCCTTCTTAATTATTTTGAGCAGCCATTGCCTGTATTTTCTTAGCACCTCCTTGGTTTTCTTACGTGGACTCATCTGGCAGGGAAATGCAGCCCTCTGCATACTGGACCGTCTGAGTCAGTGTTCTAACTAATCCCTGATGGTCTCTGAGCTACTGTTCTACCAGACTCAGTAGTTACGTGCTTTAGGAATTTTTCGGTACAATTGGTCCTATTAGGAGACTCCTGGTGTCACCTTTGTTATCTTAAAAGCTGGTCCCTTCGCTGAGGCTCTTAATTTTTTGAAAACTTGATGTTATTTCAGCTGAAAAAAATTGGCAAGGCTATTTAAAAAATTGAGGGAAACCATTTAAGAAATTGAAAAGTAATCGCAAACAATATTGGGTAGTTGTGACTTTCAGTTCTGTGTCAGTTGAATTTTTGTGCTCTTTTCCCTGTGTACGTGGTGGTTCTATTTTTCTCCAATAAAACTTTTTATTAAAAAAAAAAAACGTACTGTCTAAACCATTTTTATCTGGATAGTCCAGTGGCATTAAGTACTTTGACGTTGTCGTGTAACCGGCTCCCCCATCATCTCCAGAGCTCTCTCATCCTCCCAAGCTGAGACTGCCCCACTAACAATTAACTCCTCACCCTGCTCCCGCAGCCCCTGGTACCCACCCGCCTCCCTTCTGTCTCATGAAGCTGACTCTCTGGGGAGCTCATCCGGTGAAATCACAGTCTGTGTCCACTTGGGACTGGCGTGTTGGCAGCGTTGGTTTTACACGGAAACTTCCTGCCCTAGATTGGGTTCCAGGACTGCGCGCAGCCAGGGGGAGGATGGAAAGGCACTGTTGAGGCAGGAGCTCAGGGCAGGTGGGCAGGTGTCTGGGGAGAAGTGGGGACCTGGACCTGGGCCGTGTCCAGAGGGGGGCAGGACAGAGGGACAAGGGCAGGGGCCATCGGGTGGGCAGGGGGCGGCCCAGCGATGCCTCGTGAGCCCCTGGGCCGTCCTCCAGGTGAGACACCCACCTGAGCAGCAGCAGTCACTCGAGGGCAGGAACCTCTGTCCCTCCCGGTTCTGCCCGGCCGATCGCCCGAGCCCGGGGTGCCCCCCGGGACTCCCCACTCCCGCTCACTTCCAGCTGGGAGCAGGTGAGCAGACTGAGGGGACGATCCTTGAGCGGTCTCAGCAGCGACCCTCCCAAGCGGGGCGGGGTTGACCCTCTGCCCACTGCATCCAGGGCAGCAGCTGGGGGCATTCCTCACACAGGAGGGTGGATGCGAGAAGCCCCGCGGGCTCCACTGCACACACAGGAGACGTGGTCCCTGGGGCCACGGGCCAGTGGGGTGGGGGTGGGGGTGGGGGCACAAGGCAGACCCCCGACTCCAGGGCCGGAAGAGCCTTTCGGAGACGCTCCGGGCTTCTGTGGGGTGGCTGTCCACACAGGCCGCGGCCAGGTGGCTGACCTGGGCTCCGCCTCGTCCGGAGCTGCTTGGGGGGCCCAAGACCTCCTTCGCTCACCGCTGGGGGGTCTGGGCTGGCTTTCCCAGGACCTCCTTCGCTCACCGCTGGGGGGTCTGGGCTGGCTTTCCCAGGACCTCCTTCGCTCACCGCTGGGGGGTCTGGGCTGGCTTTCCCAGGACCTCCTTCGCTCACCGCTGGGGGTCGGGCCTGGCTCTTTCCCAGGACCTCGGCCAGGCCTGTGGCTGGGGCCCCCATGTGGGTGTGTCGGGCTTCTCTCCCCACCGCGGGGGGTGGGGGTTGACCCCCAGAGATGTGCCCTCAGACCTGGCCGTCTCATGGGGTCACATGGGTGCCCACGCCTGACGTCTACACACACTCATGCTTACACACATCCACTCACAGCTGCACGTGCACACATTCACCAACATTCCAGCACACGTGCTCACGTCCGTACACTTGCACACACCTGACATTCACAACACCCCCCGCCCACTCTCACAGGCAGGTCCAAAAACACCCCCACATTCGTATCCGTATCACACACTTAGCCCTACCCTTTCTCACACATTCACACAAACACACAGATTCACACTTTCACAGGGTCACACACTTGCTCACACACCCACACTGACGCCCCCACGTTCACATCCACACATACACACATGTCCACTCACGTACATACATTTGCACACACACACTGATGTATGTAGCATTCATCCTCACATCCACCCATATGCACGTTCACACCCAGTCACACTCAGACCACCCACACCCAACGTTCAGACACTCCGCTTCCACATCCCACGCACTCTCACACATGCATGCACACTCACTTGTAACGCGCACACACATTCACTCACCCACACAAAGGGACGGCATTAATTTCACACATCAGTCGGTGAACACAACCAATTCACTGAAAGGCAGACGTTTCTATTATGCTCATCCCAGGGAACTTGAAAATTTCCGAGAGGTAGAACAAAGGGGAAGAGAAATCGGCCCAGTCCTCCCCAGCCAGAGAGAACCTCCGCTGCTGTTTTTGTTAGTGTCCTTCAAGCCTTTGTTCTGGGCTTTTAGAAACCGTCTGTAGCTGTGATCACCGGATTTTGGTCCTGTGTCCACGCACAGCGATGAAAGCGGCCGCCTGTGTTCTCCCAGACTCATCATTTTAATGATGCAGCTTTGCTGCCACCGGCCCGCTGGCCCCCCACTGCCGGACAATTAGATTGTCTCTAATTAGTGACTCTTCCAAGGAAAACGGCCCGAATACCCTTGTGCTGGAGCGTTTTTCTATATTTAGAAAGATTTCCTTAGGAGAGACTCCCGTTAGTGAAATTTCTGGGTCTAAGGGAGAGTTTTTAGAGGCAGGGAGGATCTTCTAGGAAACTGGAAACGCAGAGCTGTATTTGGGGGGTGGGTTTAGCATCTTTGCACAGGATGACAGTCCCTATCTCAGCCCTTGGGCTTCAGGACGCGGAGGTCACCTCTCAACTGCGTCCCACACGGGAATTTTTATTTGTTATGTTCCCTGATTTCAAATGCACTAAGTCCCCAGGACATAAACGATTGTTAAGGCAAACAAGTGAGCAATGCACATCAGCTAAATGTAATAGATCTCAGATGACGTAGGGGGACTTCCCTGGTGGTCCTGTGGCTAAGACTCAGCACTCCCAATGCAGGGGACCCAGGTTTGATTCCTAGTCGGGGATCTAGATCCTTCATACCACAACTAAGAGTTTGAATGCTGCAATTAAGATTCTGTGTGGCTCAATGAAGATCCAGTGAAGCCAAATAAATAAAAATAAATATTTTAAAAAATAATGTAAATCCTACTAAACGGTGATTCCCCACCACATGCATCTGTGTCCAGGGAGGGTGGCGACTTCCGGTGCGT